AATAGATATCGAAGCAGAGGAAATATAGTACTGGATCACTGGTAGGGAAAGACCTCGTAGCTTATATCGTAATCCTAGTTTGTAGGTCCTGAAGGGGGCGCAAAACAAACATGAGTGGACCAATTTGATATAAATATAATAAAACAGTTATCAACATACTAACCCCCAAACATATATATATACATGTTATGTGGTTTTGTACTTACCTAGTGGTCCTTTCTGCTACGGGACGTAGGGATAGATTCCGGTCCGTCCCGAGCGACGGTTTGGTGTTGGCATAGGGCCCGGAGGGTGTTTCCTCTTGCATTTAAGACCAGGGACGGGAAGCCGGCAAAGGGCCTGTAGTGTATTTTCCTCTGACTATCTGCTCAGAGACGGGGAGCTGGCATGGGGCCTGGGGGTTATCGAACAATTCACTAGTGATTATTATATATACAAGTTATGATTTGAGACACTGCACATCATGCTAGGTTTCGGAAAACCTATGTTTTACATTATATATATATATATATGTTTTCATAAAACCTGGGGGTTAGTATGTTGATAACTGTTTTATTATATTTATATCAAATTGGTCCACTCATGTTTGTTTTGCGCTCCCTTCAGGACCTACGAACGAGGATTATGATATAAGCTACGAGGCATTTCCCTACCAGTGATCCAGTGCTATATTTCCTCTGCTTCGATATCTATTGTAATATAGCACACCTCTATCTTGAATTATGTTTGTACTCTGTAATAGACGTATGCTCTGAACTGATGTTATGATCCTAATTTTATTAATTAGAAGTTGAATTTTAGTATTATGTGGCTAGCCCTGCTGCCTGTTTAGCTTATTTATGAGCTTTTACTTAATTTAAATGGCTTTCGTCACCCTTTGGGTGTCGGCTAACACGTGATCATCCTGATGTCACGAGGACATCGGGATCGGGGCGTGTCACAGACTTCATTTCCAATCGAACCAAAAGGGCGGTAGCACAGTAAACCAGAATCCTGACCTTATTTTCTAGCGAGAGGAGGGGCGGCCGCCCATTTTTATGCCTTAATAGCTTCGCCACTGCATGGCACCGTATCTTAAACACCCAATGGGAGGCACGATAGGAGGGTTAAAAAATGAGATCCAAATCTAGTGGGCAGTAATCTAGAGGGAGGGTGCCTAAGGTCGCTAGGGCATGTTTGGCCAACAACATCGATGTCATTGTCAACTAGATGGACGGTAGAATCAATGTAGTTTATTTGTTTGACATAGTATGAGTTGGTTTGTAGGGTGCGGATAGGCTCATCGGCGGCAGAGCATTTGAGGCCTAAACCAGGGTAACAACAGTACTGATCGGCGGAGGTGGCTTTGACATGCCAAAACGGATAGCGACAGGCAACGTCGTTGCCACAATCATATGTGGGGAAAATATTGGTTGAGGATGAAGAACTAGTGGTGTTATGTGTGTGTGTGTGTGTGTGTAGCTTAATCTTGGACCAATTTAGTTGTAAGGGAACATTGTATGTGAAAAAAAAATTATATGCACATTTTGTGCCTCATCTTTCACACTGTAAGCAAATCACGATTTAACACATGTAGAAAGAACTTACTAAAAATACATAATGTTCAAGGAGTTTCGTTAGACTCCAAGGTTTGATCATAATTCAAGAAAATTGTGGTCCACCACCGTTTGATCTTAGTTTAACAGTGGAGGAAAAAGTACAATAACAAAAGTTAAATAGCCACCTACCATTGAATTACGATTGTACGGTCGGTAATCATAATTTTCTTAAATCTTAGAGTCTAAAAAACCATGTATGTATGCAGACATGTGAAACTGTGATTGCATGAATCACTCATTTCAAAGAAAAAACTCAAATATTTTATGCATGATAGGGATTTTGCTACACATGTGAACGGGCTAAAAACTCCTATAATACTTGCAAGAATTACAAGGTTGTTGTAGTATAAACGGATCTCGCAAGGTTGTTCTCCACATGGATTATTAAATAATTCGAAACAAATCAAATTCCAATCAATTATTGTAAAGTAGAAATTGAGATGAGTGATTTCATAAACTACTTAAATTAAAAACGAATTTAATTAATAAAAGTAAACTAATCTGCAATATTAAAGATGAAAGAAAAGGAACCAGTTTTGGAAAATCAAATTAAGAAAGCACTAGGGTTCCACCATCACCTAGCAATCCTATGAACTTTTTGTTGGAGTTTGAATGAAATTTCAACTCAAATGGGTATTGTTGGAAATTTGAGTAGAAATTTCTTTGTCCCACATTGGTCATTCCCAAAAGATTTTATCACTTTAGAAGGCTTTGTCCTTTAGAGAAAGTGATTGGAGTAATAGGCCTAGAGACTAAAATTGGGCTCACCCTTGGGATTGGACTTTGGGGTGTACTAATTAATTGGTAATTAATATATAATTAATTATAATTAATATATATTTAATTGTCAAAAGATGGGTCTTAGGCCTTGGGGCTCTTGGGCTCTAATAATTAAATTATTTAATTAATTATTTTTCGGATTTACTTAATTATTTTTAATTAAATTCAAATTTAATTAATTTTTTTTTTTTTTTATGAAAAGACTCATCCTTTCAGATGAAGTCTGAGAGTTCTTTCTGAACACAGAGCAAAGCACCCATCTGAAGAGATGTCTCCCAACAATCACACCTCATTCTCATACCTGTTGCAAACAGGCATCCATTTGCTATATATACATCCATCTGCATAGCATTTAGAAGACAGAAAATAAACAACTTCATCCTCCACATTCCTAAACCTTCTTACTGAGAGAACCATACTAAATTCACCAGAAGTTAAATTTTCCGGTGCTGGAATTTTAATTTGATCGTTGAATCCTGGTGAAGCAGACGTCCGTAGAACTACAAGCACATAGTAGGGACGAAATTTCTGTTTCAAGGACATTGCAGTACACAAGCCTCGATCTTCAAGTTGTCTGTTTTTATAATTCGTATTCTATTTTATATTCTATTAATTCCTACTGCATTTATTATTTATTAGCATATATAAATTATCACAGATTGTTGACATATATCCAACACTTTTACCAATTACTTATGATCTACACATGCCACTTTGAAGGTTAGATTTTCCTAATTCATATTCTACTTGGAACCTCTAACATAGAACGTATATCTAACATGCAACCTGTCCGGACGTTCGGATCAAATCTAAACATGAAATACTCATTATGCTTTATGAAAACCCTTTGAAAAATCATACAACCCTTAAGACGTAGTGTTCATCCTAAGTGAAATTACAATTATTAATCACAAGAAGCCATCGTCAATTTCAGGGAACATTCCGACCAAAATTGCATCAAATTACTTTTCTAAAGATCCTAATGGTGATCATGCATTAAGACAATTAAATAGTTTGAATTCCGGTGATTAATAATTCAAATTGTGTATGCAATCAATCATAAGCAATTAAATAAAAATCACATATTCATGCTAAGGCTCAAGGCTTCGCCCTAGCAAAAAAAAATTAGTTAGGCATATTCATAATTGAAATCATATAAAATATTATTAAGAAAAAGATTGAAAACACCTTAAAGTAGAAAATCTCCAAGAACCCTAGAAATTGTCTCTATCTCCAAAGTTGCATAAAAGAAAGCGTAGGAAAAAACTAAGAACGGCAAAGCAATATATTTGCTAAGCCATCCACAAACCCTAAAACATAGGTCTCTTATTCCAATTAGGAAACTAAGAAAAATAATAAAATATCTTAGAAAATAAAACCCTAATTAAACTAGGGGAATCAGCCAAGTACTTGTCCAGTCCCGTTTTAGCCTTAGATCTCCTCCAAATCCGGCCCAAGATAGCTTGCTTTAAAGATTAGGCCGTTCCGAATACATCTCCAGAAGGCTACGAAACCATCCGAGGTCATCTTGGGCTCCAAAAACGTAATTTAAGCCCAGAAACATCATTTTCCAGCACTGCGCACTGCTTCTTTATTCCATCGCCAGAAAATAACTACTTGGTAGAAAAATCCCAAATTTTGATACAAACACGCCAAGAGAACACGAACGTCCTCCAATTTGAATCACTCAAAAATTCATCTGTTTGATCATGCTTTGCTCCAGAGGAAGTCGAAAGTCGTATATTGAAAATACAATTTAAAGTTCAAAATTCTTTCAAAATATTAACCAAAATGTACTAAAAATAGGATAAAATATATAATATAAAATCTACTCATCACTGCACGACTTTTCTTATGCATGTTGAGGATCTTGGACCCAAACATATAAGAGTTGAAGTTCTTGGAACTCTCATTCCTTACAGAGGAGAAATAGCTAAGAAATACAAGTGAGTCAGCTGAAAGACTATGCGATCGAAGACTTCTAGAACACATTTTTGGAGACAAGAGAACCATTTATGTAAGCATGAGTTGCATTAAATATGAAATCATCTCTTTGATAATAATTTATGTGCCAATCTTTCTCTTAATTTATAGTAAATTAGTAGGTTCTTAGGAAAGTAGATGTGAAGTGGTTACTTGATAGTTACAAAATAAGTCAGGCCATGCCCATAGATTTTAATAGAGAATAGTCCCCATAGATTTTGATTGAGAATGGTTTGTTGGCGATAAGGAAACTGTTGAAAGTTACAAAATAATCCATGATTATTTGGTCAAGCGATACTCAATTTTTTTCTTATCTATAATCTTTCAAATGTTCTCATATGTCAATTGCCGTCCTGATATTGAAAAGACAAAATATGTGCATATTCTCATAGGCAGATGTTGGCAAGCATCAAACATTTACACAGAGGTGGTTTTCTTAATATATTTTCTTCGATAGCATCCAAGTTTTTTGCCTTGTTAGCCAACTTATGCTTCTGTTTTATCAAGAAACTATTTCATTGTGAATAACTACCGAAAACTAATTTTATAATTTATACTATGATCATAAAACCTATGATATTTAGTTTTTATACACATTTGATGATCAAAAAACCTTTTTTCTTCTTTTTTTTACTTGCAATTTTGTCATCTCTTCACAAACAATGACATCTTCTCTAGGTTCCCAGACACAAGCATCGGCAGCAGACCTAGAACCTGTGAGATTTGTCCATACAGTTTCCGAGGCCCGCCGTTTGCTTCCCTCAGCGAGTCGTTGGAACTCCATAGAAATTGACTATAACCTAGTACCTCAGTCTTCCATAGCCAATGATTCAATCCCTTCTCCGTACTCCAAGTCTTACGAATTCAATCTCGTTATCACCGATAAAAACTACCTCAAACGTTGTCTTTATATATCTGCATCCACTATTTTTGTTGTCCTAGCTCTAATTTTACTGGTAGCACTTTTGCCTAATGCTCTTCAAAAGCATCATCGCCACCCTTCTAAGAATCTTACGCGTGCATTGAACCAAGCTCTGACGTTCTTTGACGCGCAAATATGTAACATGTTTCTACCATCATGCATTTGATTAGAAAGAATTACATGGAACCTCTTCTTTTTTATCTAACTTGCTGAAAATTTTCTTATCTGATCAGCTGGGGTTTACCCTAATAATAGTCCGGTAAAATTTCGCGCCAGTTCAGGATTGCATGATGGGAATTTGAGCAGTAAACCGGTGAATCTTCGGGGTGGTTTCTATGATTCTGGCAACAACATAAAGTTCAGCTTCCCTACAGCTTATACCGTAACCCTGTTGAGTTGGACTGTGATCGAATACCACGAAAAGTATGCTGATATTGGTGAGCTTGATCATGTCAAGGACATAATAAAATGGGGCAGTGATTATTTGCTCAAACTTTTTGTTCCTCCAAACACAACTTCAGAGTTCATATTGTATTCTCAGGCAAGCCTTCTGAAAAATTTAAGTCCCGTTTTGATGACCATTTCATTTTCAGTTTTCATTGTTTTGTGCGATGGCAAGTGCCTTCGCCCATGAGCGGTAGGTCTCGGGTTCGAGACTTGGGAGCAGCCTCTCCATAAATGGGGGTAAGGCTAGCCGACATTCACCTCTCCCAGACCCTGCGTAAAGCGGGAGCCTTGTGCACTGGGTACGACCTTTTTTATTGTTTTGCAACAGAATCCTGTTTCTCGAACACGATAATGAACTATTAGGGACAATGTTCTCCTTTTCCTTTTTTCCAATTTAGGTTGGAAGTGGAAACATTGATGCCAAGGTTCCTAATGACATAAACTGCTGGCAAAGGCCTGAAGACATGCATTACGACAGACCTGTTTCGATCTGCGACAGCACTGCTTCTGATTTAGCAGGGGAAATTATTGCAGCATTGTCCGCCGCTTCATTAGTGTTTAAAGAAGACAATGCATACTCAGGAGAACTAGTTACTGCAGCTGAGAAGCTATACGAGAGTGCAGTTACTAAACTAGAGCCTGCTAGGCAAGGAGCATACACCAAGGTTGATGCTTGTGGAGTAGAATCTAGGAATTTCTACAACTCTTCTGGTTTCCAAGATGAACTGGTCTGGGGAGGAACATGGTTATTTTTCGCTACCGGCGATAATTCATATCTAGATTATGCCACAAAAGAATTGAAGTATGCAGTTGCTAACGAAACGAGTGCTGATAAAGGGATTTTCTACTGGAACAACAAGCTCACTGCCAATGCGGTAATTTACTGCAACATTTGCTCTCGAATTTATGAAGTTGAATAAATTTTGTGCTCTCCCAGTTTTGGATTTAGAATAACTGGTTGGGACGTTACATCTTTGTAGGTCTTGCTAACACGTCTCCGATATTTTCGTGATCTTGGATTCCCGTATGAATCTTCTTTGGACGCATCATCAGACATTACTGACACCCTCATGTGTTCTTATTTTTCTTCTCAGAAAACAACACCAGGTATATATATATATTTATATATATATATATATATATCTGAGCATATTACAATCCATGCAGCCATTGTTGCATTTATGAGTAGTTCAATGCCTCAAAATTCCTTAAAATGCAGGTGGATTGCTCCTCCAAAGGCCTACTTATGGCGCGCGGGCACCTCTCGAATATGCTGCAACAGCATCTTTTCTTAGTAAATTGTACAGCGACTACCTTGACCTTCTGCGTAGTTCCGGTGGGAGTTGCATTAATTTTGGCTTTTCCATCGATATGTTGCGCAATTTCTCAATAACTCAGGCAAGTGTTACATATTATACGTTGAAGTATCGAATCTACAAGCGCACTCTTCCATCTGCATAATAACACGAGTCTTATCTTTTTATTCAGGTCAATTACATTCTAGGAGATAATCCAATGAAGATGAGCTACATGGTTGGCTTCGGAGATAAGTTTCCAACCCAAGTGCACCACAGAAGCGCATCGATCCCTTGGGACGGTCATCAGTACTCTTGTGAAGATGGAGAGAAATGGAAAAACTCCAAGGACCCAAATCCGAATTTGCTTTTGGGAGCCATGGTAGCAGGGCCCGACGAATTGGACAAGTTCGTAGATGAAAGGGACAAGCAGGAGTTCACTGAGCCTAGCATAGCAAGCAATGCTGGTTTAGTTGCGGCACTCATTGCACTTCATGATCCTCCTCGCCATCGTTCTTCGAAGGCCAATGGCACGCATTTGGGGATAGACCAGACGGGTATTTTTGGTAAGATCCGGCATTAGTTGCCGGTGGATTTGGCTGTTGAGTTAGCATGTAGGTTGTGCAGTTTTAAGAACATAATATCTAGTAATTCCCTGGACTTCTTAATTACTTCGATGTTTCTATAAGCTCTAGCATTGAACAAGAAAACAAAGTCGAGGATTTTGGGAAAAACTGGTGAAATTTAATGGATAGTAAATCTTTTACAACTGAACGTACTTGCAATTTACACTCATAAAAAGGGAAGGAAATGGAATAGAATATCAAAGTTCACAAACGTGAGTTAGGTCGGTTGAGCAGGGTAAGGTGCCCCACCCATCCGAATACAAATCCTCATTCCGTAAAACCCATCCCGTGAATTAAAGTAGTTTAGAATATCGCCTTGTCAAAACAAAGAAAAATTGAGATACGATATTGAAGATTCAAGTGGAATGCTCGTGTCCGGAGATGGACTCATTCGACTTGGATTGCGATGCTGCTACAGTCTCAGTAGTTGGGTTGCTGCTATCATTTCCATTGTCGAGCTTCGCCTCAAATTCCTCGAGCCATGCGTCCAATCTATCCGCCAAACCTTCTCTCGGGACATTCCGCCGCACAATTCGGGCCAAAAGAAAGAGGAGACGGAAGCACCCTGCAGCAAAAGCAACCGTGGACAAATACTCAATCAGTCATTTAAACAAACAGCTGGTGAACTAACTCGCAGAAAACGAAAAATGTAGGTAGCTTCACTCACAAGCAACAAGATACAGCAATGTCCAAGCGATATACAACACACCAACCAACAGACACAAAGGCTTCAGGATCGAGTGCGTGATTCCGTAAATCGTCATCTTCCTCAACGGGCCGCCGGAAAAAATGGCAACCATCAGAGCCCCTGCAAATACCGCAAGTGCTAGTAGCTTGAAATCCATGGCGGCGGTGATGCCAAAGAAACTGAACCTCCGCTGCCCAGCCTGCCCCTGCCCGCCACAACCCAATTCACAGTACCCAAAAGCAACGAGATTTTTTTGCAAGGATATTTATGAAGGGTTAATTTCAGATTTTCCCCCTAATTTTTGGAGTTTTTTCACTTTGGTCTTTCAAATACTTTCCCCCTCAAGGTCTTTTTTTTTTTTTTTTTGTCACTTTGGAGTTTTTTTAAGGAAGACGTTACTACTCTAATCTACATTGATAAGTGGAGGGATGAGGGTACCCTCGGATTAAACAAGAAGACATGTTTGTCAAGAGCAATCAACCACTTACACCTCGAGTTTGATAGTTTCCAATATTTGAAAAATGTGTTAAATAACAATAAAAATGACTTTGCTTCTGAAGCTAAAATTCACAAAAGTATTTGGAGGTACGTTTCAACCTAGCTTAGGTTTTTGAATGGTCGACATTCTGTTGACTATGCAAGAAAGACGGGTTTTTTTTTGGACATTGAACCGTCACAACTTTTATGCATAAAAAAAAACTGAAAGTTACATATGTGACATGAGATGGAACTCATGAAAGTAGTTACGTGCCGGTAGATGGAGGGTATTTTGATCAAAGTAGATGACTTATTGAAATGTCGTCCAAAAAAACAATCATATCATTATGTCAACTTTTATAACGAAAGTTACTCTCTATCCGTATTAAGAGTCTAGGATTTGGGACAAAAAATAAGTTGAGGGACCAAATCGAAAATCTCGTAGATTTTTTTTGTTGTTTGTGGCGAGGCCCATTACCCAAGGCCCAAGCGAAGGAGTTTTCTTTGGGTTCACGTCACGTCTGTCTTTCCAAGTACCCTTAAACCCTCATCAGAGAGGACAAGATCGTCATTTGATTCGGCAGCATCAATGGAGTCGGAAGCTCTTGATGCAGCTGAAACTGTGACCAGCGTGGTTCTTCTGAAGCTGCTACTGGTGCTGTTTCCGGGGGCTCTGCTGCTCGCGATTTCTTTCGACAGCTCCTCGGAGGAGGTACTGATGCTCCGATTCGTGATGCAGGCGGTGAGATTGGTACTCCAAATCATGATCAAAATGGCGATGTACAGAATCAAATCGGTGATCGAAAACGTCCTGTTTGTAATCTTCATCGTCATCTTACATCCTCTAGCTCTGTGCTGCCGTGTGATGCGAAACGCCGTCGCATTGCTGGGTATCGTAGCTTGTGAGTCAAGCAAACCATTTCGTTTTTATGTTTACCAGCTGTTTGTTTAAATGCTCGTTTAATTTATTGACTGTTTTATGGGGCGGTTCCTGCAGGGTCCTGCTGGGTTCTGTATCGTTTGATCGCGCTTGTTGCGGCGTCGGAGCTTGATCGTGATGCATCCCGAGGGCAAGAAGAAGAAGAAGGTGGTGACAGTGATCACATTGTGCCTAGATTGAAGGAGAGCTTGCAGTCATGGCTGATCGAATTCGAGGCGGAGCTTCGGAAGGGGAATTATAGCAACCCGGCTATTGTAGCATCCCGATCTGTTCATATCCTACAGTAGATGATCAATTCTCTCTTCTCTGCAGCAATTAAGTTTTAACTTTGTGAATTTGAAGTCAGAACATGTTCATGTGCATTCCAACCTAATATTTTCCAACGTATGAAGGTTGTAAACCCTACTTCCTACTTCCTCCAATCTTTATTATTTACTTTCTTAATTACTCCAATAATTCTCTTCTAAGGACGTGTGTGCTTGGATCGAGAAGGCCATGAAATAGAATGTTACATTAATGTTTAGCTATAGGATTAGGCTCGGCAATTTCTTAGAGGACCCGTTAACCCGACATGAAATCTCACAAAAATGACAAGTTTCGGATTAACTTGTTAACAAGTCCGATCGTTGTCAGGTAACCCATTAACGTGTCGAGTAGCTATCAGGTCATCCGTTAAGAACCCGATAAGTAGACATTAGACATGTCAATTTCTTGTATGACTCATTAACCTGACAAGAAACGACACGACCGTTTAACGAATCATGTCATTATTGGGTCACTTGTAACGAACTCGTTATCTTAACAGCTTTGACACAACACGACACGACCCATTAAGATTGTTGATGCACAAAATCAATGAGGACTTTGGTACAACATAAAGTGTTAAGTTTGTGACCTTCGCTAGATTGTTTCAGTCACTAGTGTGGATAAGTATGTAAATGGATAGAGACATGGAAGCAAACACAAGATGTACGTGGTTCACCCAGATTGGCTACGTCCACGAAGTAGAGGAGATCTCATTAATTGTGAAGGGTTTACACAAGTACATAGGTTCAAGCTCTCCTTTAGTGAGTACTAGTGAATGATTTAGTACAAATGACATTAGAAAATATTGTGGGAGAATGATCTCCTTTTATAGAAGAGAGTTTCTATCTTTGTTTTGACATTGACACGTGTCGTGTTGTGATTGGCTTCTGATGTTGACACATGTCGCGCTATGATTGGCTTCTGATGTCGACACGTGTCGCGTTGTGATTGGCCTCCTGGTTGGAGGGAAACTCTTCTGAGTTCTTGACGGTATAACGTTGACCGGTGCTCGGTAATTTCGGGATTGGTCAAGTATGGTACAAACAAAGATAATTAGTACGACATGAACACGACAAACATGACCTATTTGGCATGCCTATATGGGATAAACATATCTACACTAACATCTTGGTGATCTATATTTTGTTCTTCATGTTTGAGTTAACTAATTTGATTGCAACACTAGACTTGACAACCAGGTCATGTATGAGATAACTAATTTGAGTGCTAGCCTATGTAATTAGGCTCCCTCTCAACTACATGCATCAATAATTAACTTTGAGCATTGTGGTTTTTGTTTTGGTGCAGAAGACAATGAGGCGGTGGAGGACTTGTGATGTTGAGTTTCAGTCTTACTTCACACTGAATGATCAATGGGAATCGTTTAGAGAGTGAAGTGCATATGGGGCAGGAGTACCGTTGGTCCTTAACAATAGTGATTCTGTTGTTCAATATTATGTTCCCTATATATCTGGTATCCAGTTATATGTGGAATCTTCTGCCAAGTTAAATGCAAAGTCAAGGTAATAAAAAGTTCTGTTTAGTTCATGTTTCATACAGTTAGAACGCCATAGTTATGTGAACCGGTAATCGTTCTTTGTAACATGTTTGTTTACAATGGTTATTAGTTACATGAAATCTTATTGCAAATGATTATGGGTTCACAATGTTGGTTCGGTTACAGGAACATCAGTATGATGTTCTATGGTGGACATCCCATGACTAGTACTACTGGTTTTCAGGGGATGTAATCATACAATGTATTTGCTGATTGCAATCTTTCTCTTCAATAAACTAGTACTGTCTACGTAGATGTGGAGGTCCCCGTCAAATGGTTTCGGATGGGAATTCCCATCACTTTATACATTCACTTTGTACATACTACATTCATATCAGCAGTGCTTAGTTGATCCATTTGTGTTGTAAAGTTATAGTGCCACTTTGTGATAGATAATGATTAAGTGCTAGGAAAATTATGTCTGGATTATATTCAGTTTCATTTTTATTGAATCTCAACTCTACCATCCCTGTGGACACAAAATGGAGTAACGGAATGTCAACTCGCGAGTTCCCTGAAGCAGGCTGCAAACAATTGGCTTAGCCTGCTTCAGGTCAATCACCCCGATTTCCTGTTCTTTGCCTCGCATGGCATGCACTGCAGGTGAAATTAATCTTGTTTCACAGATGGAAGTATCTTAGCTACCACTCCACAAGTTACAGGCCTTGAAATTATCCTCTTGATAGTTAGGTAAATGGAGGATGCTGAAATGTGAACTTTTTTTTTTAAATGCAAAAAACAGAAGAGAGAGTGGGAAGTTCCAAAATTAAGAGATGAAACAAGAAAAAGTATAAAAATAAGAGGGAAACAGTGAAAAGTAAAAAGGCAGGAGAATAAGGTCAAAGAAGACCAATAATTAGTGATGAAAATGTTAGTGGTGTATGATAGCCCACTGTAGATGTCATATACATATATGAGGTGGATCCGTAGCACTATTTTTTTAACAGAACACCGTATATATTTTAACAATTCGAGCTATCTATCTTAGGTTATAGGAATATTATGCATATTTTTCACTGGTTGGAATGAAATGAGATGAATGTTTAAAGGGAGATTATATTCAACACCTCACATTACTTTTTCAACCTTTTTATTTTTTTAATATTTTTCTATCAAGTGTTAGTGATTTGTAGAAATTATTAAAAAAAATTTAAAATGTGTGGAAGAATTAATTTAAGGAATGTGAATATAATCTCTCCTATTTAAAATTTTGTATCGTTTCAAATATATTTACTTGCTATTAGATAATATTTAGGAAGAGGTTATCGGGTTGATGACTTTTTAGAGTATAAGTAACAAGCAAAAAATCCTTCGTTGGGTGTTGAGAAATTCGACATTCAAATACCTTTGCGTCATATTTGGTGCTTAATATTAGATTAGATTTCATAACTCACCAAATTCAAAATTTGAAAGTTGACTTTCCTTTCTTATTTCAACTTATCAAAATGGTCAGATTGGTTTGAACGGACCTTCAAATTGTTCGACTGGGCTTTTGCCCACTTTTGAGTAACTTTTCACATATTATGAGGTCATCTTCAACTAATTCGGTCAAAGGATCATAAAACAAAAAATAGTTTGGAATGACACAAAAATCGTCTCCAACCGAGGGCTAGGCCAAAGAGCTTGTGGGCTAGACCGAGCCCAGACCCCCAAATTAGGCCAGTTAGTTGGCCATTTCTAGCCAGCCCTTCAGCGCCAGAATGTCAAGCTTGACATTTTGCCAGCTCTCTAGTTCAACCTATTTGAATGCCAAAGGCTACCTAGCGTCATCATGACGCCAACTAGCTAACGTCATGCTTCAGTCAGGTTACCATTGGAATTTGAATATTTTTTGGACAAATTTAAAAAAAAATCTTGTTTTTTCCCTATAAAAACCTACAACATTGAAAGCTGAAGATAAGAAGTGTCACGTAGATAAGAATTATATCTAAAATTTGCACAACAATTACATCTCGACACGCGGCACTCGAAATCTAATCCAAAAAAATATTAAGATTACATAAAGATAAGAAATCTGGAGAGTTACTCACTTTAGCGACATGTGTCACTCGAAATTATATCCGAAAAATTATTGAGATTACATAAAGATAAGAAATCTGGAGAGTTACTCACGTTAGCGACATACGTTACTCGAAATTCTATCCAAAAAATTATTTAGATTATATAAAGATAAGAAATATAAAGGCTTATTCATTTGACAACAAGTGGCACTCAAAATATGTCCGAAAACCTTATTTTAATATAGTAGTTTAATTTAATTAACCATATTAATTTAATTAAAATAATAAATTATTTTTGGCCTATGGCCCTTTAGCCCCTTCGCTTGGAGATGATTTTTTGTCAAAGGGCTATGTTTGGTCTATGACCCTTTGGCCCCCTCTGTTGGAGATGGTATAAAATATGGCCTAACACTATTCATTAAAATATAATTTCTTGCAGGGCTATAAGGCTAAAGATAGTCTTTTGGCCCTCATTCGGTTGGAGATGGCTTGAGCCATCTATCTATCTTTCAAAAGATAAGAATTTAGGAAAACTAATGAAAAGAGCCTGAAAACTTTGAGTTTTAACGATAAGGACAAAATAAAAGGTAAAGTGAATTGTTTGTATCATACTTGACCAATCCCGAAACTACTAAGCACCGGTCAATGTTATACCGTTAAAAATCCACAAGAGTTTCCTTCCAACCAGGAGGCCAATCACAGCGCGACACGTGTCGACATCATATGTCAATCATAGCGCGATACGTGTCAACATCATAGACCAATTACAGCACGACATGTGTCAAAGTTAGAACAAAGCTAGAGACTCTCTTCTATAAAAGGAGATCATTCTCTCACAATATTTCCTAATGTCATTTGTACTAAATCATTCACTAGAACTCACTAAATAAGAGTTTGAATCTATGTACTTGTGTAAACCCTTCGCAATTAATGAGAACTCTTTTACTTCGTAGACGTAGCCAATCTAGATGAACCACGTGCATCTTGTGTTTGCTTCCCTGTTTCTGTCTATTTACATACCTATCCATACTAGTGACCGGAGTAGTCTAGCGAAAATCACAAACTTAACACTTTCTGTTGTACCAAAGTCCTCACTGATTTTGTGCATCAACATGAATAGTACCAGGATTGACTTTTTAGTGTAAAAATATGGTTTTTTGTTAAAGTGAACAGTACGAGGATCTTTTCGTTAAAGTTCCCTAAGAATTTTTATGGCATGAATATACTACTATGGTATCGTTCTCATATAGATGATCTCGTACACGATGAGAAATTAACAAATACCTTTTTTTTAGAGTAACGCTAGGTAGACTAAATTTGTAAACTAAGCAATGCGTCATCAATAAGAAATAAATACGTTAATCAACACTTAAATAATAATTCAATAGTCATCTTCCATATTATTTAGTTTACAAAATTTAATTTCCTTAACTTTATCCTTATTGTTAGCGGAAAATGTTATTGTCACTCCAAAAATCTTATTCTACACTTCTCATACGTTTATTTTTCTTTCCAAATATAGAAAATTTAGAATATAAAATAAGATTTTTGAAATACCAATAACAAT